TTTAATTAATTTTCCATCTCTCTTTTCTCTCTCACTACTCTCAAACACATCGATCAGAGGCAACTTCAGAGCTGGGACTTTAATCGAAGATAATCAAAGGTTCATCAATTACACATAACTCCCCTGAGGTTATGCGAAATTACACATAGACCCCTCATGTTTGGAAAGTTACATATACCACGCTTTGAGTTTGTCTCATCCTCAAACCCAACCCTCCAAATGCAGCAATTGACAAATTTATCCTCACCAGAATTTTTTTTTTTGGAAGTAGAAAAAATATGGTAAGAGATCAAAAAAAAAATATTACTATTTTTTTTGTTCGATGGTCATTACCCAGATTAATGATTTTAAATTGTATTGTTCGAGCAAGAGGTGCATCAAAATTTGTACTTTGATTTTTTATGAAGTTCGAAATAGTAAAAGTGACAATACAAATTTAAAAATATTTGGTTAGGGTAAAAATAATAATTACAACTGATTATTTCGTGATGTCATGTTATTGAGATACTACACGGGGTCATATACATCGGATGATTAATTTTTAACAATTGATGTGGTTAAATAACCACTCGCTAAACACATATACACATGAGTGTGTGTGTGATTTTGTGTAGATCAATGATTATTAATCATCCAGTGTGATTCACTTGGTATAGCATTAAATAAACCGTGATGTATCACTTTACGGTTAATCAATAGCTAAAGAAGGTAAATTATTGACGGGAATTTTTGAAACCTAAGAGGGTCCGTGACCGCAAACGAACTCGAAGACCGAAAAATGGTTATTTTACGGGCGAATTAACCAAGTTCAACATGATCATAATTTAAGTTGGTCATGATAATATTATCTCCCACTTGGTTAAAGTAAATGATAATTTATCTACCTCCATAAGGTTGACAAGCTAAGCTATTACAAGGAAATGGTCAATTCAATCGATTTTAATGCAATTATATATTTGGAGTGACTCACCACTAATCTATATATATTATGAGAGCTATTTGCACAAATTCTTCTTTAAGCTGGAATGGTAAATACAAACTCTTTGTTAAAATAATTAACAATTAATCCTCTATGTTGCATTTTATTTAGTTCATTGCCCCCTAATGGAAAATAAATATATTGACTAAAAAGAAGTCACTGTGATACCCTTCAATTAATAACATAAAATTAGAATCATTATATAATAGAGGTTGATATGTCTATTGGCCCAGCCCAATAGACCCATATTTACTGGGCCACATGCCCAATTTAATAGTTATTTCTACGGAAGTCCAATCACATCCGAATAAGGTTGAGCCCGATAAATTGATCTCGGCCCAATCAATAGAGTATAAATACAACTTAAGTTCGTTTAATGAAGGTACGCTATTATAGTTCAATCAATTCTTCTATTCGAATTCTCTCTACAACTACCGACTATCCGCACGTCTGACTTGAGCGTCGGAGGGGTTTCCGCCGGATCAACCCCCGGCTTAGTTCACGTGTTCTTTGTTCGCAGGTATCTCAGGGCCATCTAGCACGTGAGCAGTGATCCACTTTGCTCTCCCAGCTCCCTCGATCTCAACTACTTAAGGTGATCTATTTTTAGCATCATCATAATGGCGCCGTCTGTGGGATAGCATACAAGATCACGTAGCGAGCATGATGTCCCTGAGTCATCTACTCGGAGAGAACGTACCAATGCTAACATCCTTCCACCTCGTGGAAGCTCTGGCTTGCCACTTACTCCTCGTAATCAGGATCCACCTCGCGAGGTTCAGGTGAATCCCCCTCTGGATCCACCACTCGTCGAGCCTCCACTACCTGCTCCACCGCTCCTTGTTTCCCGAACGGTTCAAATAACCGAAGAAGCCCTCCAGCACATGATTGCGGAAGTTTCAGCTCGTGCTGCCACTGAAGCAGTGGCACAATATATCGCCACAACGGGAGTCAGCGCTCCCCTTGCATCTCCACCCGTGCCACAACATCCTCCACCGCCAGCGGATACCGCATCCACCTCAAACCCTAGGTCTCGAATGCAACAATCTACTCATCGCCAAAATGCACGAACTGGGCGACAAGACCCACGTTCACCTTCAAGAGGCAACGCCTCACGCCAACGAGCTCCTCCACGCAATGGTGGAGATGATGAAATTAACAGTCGGGTGCCTCGTTCAAATCACCTTCGCCACATAGGTAATCCCATTGGTGGAAGGGCGATACCTCCAATAAGGCGCAGTCCCTTCACTGTCGCAATAATCAATGAGATACTACCCCAACGGGTAAAGGTCTCGAGTCTACCGCAGTTCGATGGAACTAGTGACCCACATGAGCACCTTGAAAAGTTCTACGCCATGGCAGATCTATATGGCCCAACTGATGCGGCGATGTGCAAGATGTTTCACACAACGCTCTCTGAACGAGCATTGAGCTGGTTCAACTCCTTGCCCACTGGGTCAATTGAAGCTCTCTCCCAACTAACAGATCGCTTCACCCACCATTTCTCTATCAACAAAGAGTACGCTAAGACTCCTGCGTACCTCTTCACTATCACCCAAAGAGAGGGCGAGAAGCTCCGCAACTACATTCAACGATTTGTAGAGGCATCTCACAAAGTTCATAACGTGGGAGGAAGCATGCTCGCTGGAATCATTCAACAAAATTTGAAGGAAGGTAGATTCAAGGAATCCATTGCAGGAAGACCTCCAATCAATCTGGAAGAGCTACTAAGTCGCGCTGAGAAACACGTGCGCATCGAAGAAGCTTCGACCCCCGCTCCTCCCAAGAGGAAAAGAGATGAAGATCACTTCAGCACCCGACGACGAGATGTCCGACGACAATCGTCGACATCTCATTGAGAATCTCCTTCTACATCTCTGGACTTCCAATGATGTCAATGATACTTGGAGTCTCTAGAGCTCATAACATTGTTAGTGATCGCATCATCCTAAACTGGGGGGCTATCCTACCTTAAGGATGATGCATCCCCTCACCTTTCTACATGAATTGGACGAAGCATCTACATCATCTATTTAGTACAAGTTTAGTTATTTTGAGCGATTCGCTCCCAACTTGTTTAGTTACATTTGCCTCAAGTAGGCTTGTAACCTTCACATTTTCAAGCAATGAATAAAACAAATTATTTCCCTTACACTCGGTGTTATTACTCAACAACTACATAATTATTATCTCAAGTCAACACTAACCCTGGGAACACTTAGAGATTTTATAATGATCTATATAGTCTGGCCAGCTTGATTTTATAAACTTCTCTATCTGTCTTTATTGGGTTCTACATTTAAAACGTGGCCACGGTCCTAACATATTTACGACCCATGAGGTCTAACAAGGGGCACGATCCCCATCAAAAAATCTTGAGAGTCTGATCCCCTCATCAAGTACATCACGCACAATGCTAAATGTAAACACATATAAGCAACGCGTCAAACCAATGACAACGTCATACAAAATAAACGTCAAATGAAATAGTAATGGGCAAACCCATCTACTCAAAATATGAAGACAAAATGAAGAACCTACAATTCCACGCACCTTGGGCCACGTGCCATAAAAAGAAAAAAAAAAACAAGAAAAAGAAGAAGAAAAAAGAAGATGAAGAACAAAAAACAAGAAAAACAAGAAGAAGAAAAAAGAAGAAGAAAAAAGAAGAAAAGAAAAAAGAAGAATAATTAGAAGAAGAAGAAAGAAAGAAGAAAGAAGCAAAAGAAGAACACGAACCAACAAAAAAAACAAAAAAATTACCCCAAGCCCCCTCCCCCCCGCGCAACGCGCGCCCACCCCACCCCACCCTACCACTCTCCTTTCTCTCTTTCTCTCTCTTCCCCTCTCCCCCCAACCCATATATATGGGCCTCACTTCACCTACCCCTCTCCTTCTCTCTTTCTCTGTCCTCCCTATCCCTCTTTTTCTCTCTCCTCCCTACCCCTACCAGCCCCACCCCGACCCGCCCCACCAACCTCCTCTCTCTCTCTCTTCTCTCTCCTGGCTCAACCTTCCACATCGGGCTCCGTCACAATATCTCCGGATAACCCTAATCGCGTACTATCGGAACATGCGATTTCTTTCTCCGGTGCAAATTTTTACCGGAACTCGATCCAATCACCTTCCTTACGTCCACGACACAAACAAGAAGATCGAGATACTTGTCCACTCTCGACACGATCTGGTTACTCTCTCCAATTCGCTCCCACATCAATTCGAGAGTGGGGGGCTTAATGATATGTCTATTGGCCCAGCCCAATAGACCCATATTTACTGGGCCACATGCCCAATTTAATAGTTATTTCTACGGAAGTCCAATCACATCCGAATAAGGTTGAGCCCGATAAATTGATCTCGGCCCAATCAATAGAGTATAAATACAACTTAAGTTCGTTTAATGAAGGTACGCTATTATAGTTCAATCAATTCTTCTATTCGAATTCTCTCTACAATTACCGACTATCCGCACGTCTTACTTGAGCGTCGGAGGGGTTTCCGCCGGATCAACCTCCGGCTTAGTTCACGTGTTCTTTGTTCGCAGGTATCTCAGGGCCATCTAGCACGTGAGCAGTGATCCACTTTGCTCTCTCAGCTCCCTCGATCTCAACTACTTAAGGTGATCTATTTTTAGCATCATCAGAGGTCAAATTGCAATGTTACTAAACTTCTGAAACTTAAATTAGGGGATTGGATTGTAATTTTCCCAAACATAAAATTGAATTGGATTTAAATATGATTATTCCAATACTTAGGATCAAATTGCAATTTTTATAATTTCTTAAATAAAGGGAAAAAAACACATTTTTTTATGGAAAAGAAAAAGGAAAAAGAAAACACATTCTTCTTCCCCGGCCCATTGGAATTGCCACGATCACCGGTAAACTCCCACCGCCACCACCAGCAATCACCTCGTCAAGTCGCCGCCTCCAAACAGAAAGAAAGAACATATCTTCCCCAAAAATCTTGTTCCCCATTACAATCACCACCACGACCTAACTCACAACACCACCTCCGGCAATCACATGTTCACGCCGCCGTTGCCACCGCCCCTTTCTTCCACCACCTGCCTCATCCGCTCTTCTCGTCCCCTCCACCGCCAACATCCCCTTGCCAGTTCCACACTAGCCGATTCTTCTTTTGCAAATTCTAGAATCTTAGCAAGCCTAGCAAAATTACTAAACTCCAGCCAAAGCTCTAATCGCCACCACCGCCAAAGCCCTAATCGCCGCCATCGTCAGAGAAGACGATAAAAAGCAGAAAAACAATGGGGAGGTCATCCGGAGGCATCAGGTACCTTGTATAATGGTGGGCTACTATCGGGAGACGCCTGAGAAGACGCAAAAAAATGTAAAAAAATAGTTTTTTTTTCGTGGATTTTCTCTAAAAAGCTCTGTTTTCGATGGGGGCAGATATATTCTTGGATTTTCACGGGTCGTTGATGGGTTTTGCAGAAGAATAATGAGCTTGAACTTAGCTCCAATTCGAACTGAATTTCGTCGGAGAAAATGTTGGAGTGGTGGGGCGAAGCGGAGGCTGAGGATATGGAGGGAGGTGAGGCCGGAGAGAAAGTGTTTGCCGGAAGGAGAGCGGCGGTCAGCTATGTTCAGTGTATTTTTGGAAAATTACAAATCAGTCCCTAACTTAAGGAAGAAGAGGACTTTTCTGAAACTTATGAGCGCTTAAATAAAGAAATGTTTGTTTTGCAACGGAAATTAAACAACACTAGATTTAAATCTTTATCCACAAATACATAACTTGTGAATGTGCTTTCACAGACGAAAATTTTATTAAAACAAAATACACAAAGAGAAGTAAATATATTCTCTTTTACGATGAAACCACAAGCTGATTTCTTTCGTAGAAGAATTTTTAGACTCAATTTATGCATTTATTTAACATGCAAATGTTTGTATCCTATTACGAAGAAGAAAAAATCATATATACTCTGCAGCTAAATTGAAAAAACCGAAATGTAGTATCTGATAACATCAAATAAAAGAGAAACACAAGCAGCACTTATTACATGCAAAGTGCGAAAGGTTAATCAACACAAATTAAATTAAATCAATTAAACAAGAATCACTTCAACCAAGAACAGGCCTTTGGCCTAAATCAAGATATGATTTGCATACCTTCTTATTTTCTCTCACACTCCACCAAACAAAGAACATAAAATCAAAATTCAATTCACACTAGTATATATATATATATATATATATATATATATATATATATATATATATATATATATATATATATCATTTTTCTTTGATGCTTATAATTTGTGGGGATATATCTCAGAAAAAAGTCGAAGCCACCCCCTCCAAAGTCCGAGTCACCCCCACCAAGAAAGTCCGAGTCACCCCCACCAAGAGAGTCCGAGTCACCCCCACCAAGAAAGTCCAAGCCACCCCCTCCAAGAAAGTCCAAGCCACCCCCTCCAAGAAAATCAAGTCCATTACCAACCAACAATGACTGAAAAATATCTCCACCACCGCCGCCGTTCATTAGCATCTGTAAAGTATCTCCTGTGCCGCCAGGTACGCCGCCAATATTATTAAGTCGAGACATCAATCGCGTCAGCTGTTGTACTCCCCTGGCACCCCCACCAACACCACCACCAAGTCCGCCTGAATGAATCGCCTGCGTCATGGCCTGATTGTCTTGAATCATTTGTTGAATGGCCTGAAGGAGCATTTGGTTATGTGTGTCAACCGCCGCCACCGATCCACCGGCAGGATAACCGGCATGTACAGCATGAGGGTTCATATTATGGTACTGATAATAACTAGGGTGATGCGCGAAACTCTGCTGCACATGCGGCGGCTGAGGCTGAGGCACATGAACCGATCTAGTGGTCGTACTACCACCCTGAAAACTGGCCGTGCGATTGTAATTACGGCTTCTCGCGCATTTCAAGTGGGCATCAAACTCGCACGCGCCGCACCTGTAGAGCCAGTGGTCCCCACCGATTTTCTTGCACACGTCGCAGGTAAAATTTTTCGTCTCGTACGGGGATCCATAAGTGAGGTCGAGCTTGTGCGGGTGGCAGGTGGTGTTTGTGACGGACAAGGGCATGCTTGCGCAGAGTATGTGGAGATCGATTTCGCACGGTTCGCAGCTGTACGAGAAACCCTTGCCCGTTTCGAAGCAGGCGTCGCAGTTGAATACGCCGGTGGAGTAGGCCGGTTTTGGAAGGAGGGTTAGAGTGTGGTCCTTGTGGAAAGGATGTGTGATTTTCTTCGGCATGTCGAAACATTTCTTGTGAAGGAAAAAGTCTTTGCAGATTGTGCATGAGTAGATTGTTCCAGAAAGATTGAGATCGCATCCTAAACAAGAAGAAGATATTAGGGTTTGCTGTTGTTGTTGATGATCAATACTGATAAGCTTCAATGGGTGTGGATGGCTGAAATGGGTAATTATTGTTGTAGTTGGGGTTTCTTTCTCGGGTTCAGTGGTTAATCTTCCCATCTCTCTCTAAAACACACACACAGAACACACAGTTAAGGGGTTAGGAGGAGAAAGCTATCACGGATGTATGATCTAACTCATTTAGTTGTGAGTGGTGGCAGATAGTACAATTTTCGATGACATTTAAAGATCTCAGATACACAGGTTATTGAAAGAGTTGACTTTTGGAGATATATGATGAAATAGTCTAACATTTTTTTTTGTTTGAGTCGTTTGATTAAATCAGGGTGCGCATATTACTTTTTATTTGGAACAATCTATAGTTTTCATCTCTGGCTCACGTTTGCAGCAATTTCGTATTTGGTCAGATTCACAAAAACCACATTTGGTCCTTCATGTTTCAATAATTTAACACTTATGATCATTTTTGTCAATTTAAGATTAATTCGCCAGTTAAGGTAGTGATGGGCTCATGACTGATTCCGTTAATACGAACAAAAAATTAATGAAAATGTGTTGAACTTTTTAATATAGGGACCAAATGTGTTCGTGAACATGAAAGACCGAATATGAAATCAGCGCAAATTAAAGGGATGGAAAATGTATTTTTCCACTTTTCATTTATTTATTTTCTTTTTGGATTTTTGATTCATCAAAGAAGTTATCTTATTGCAGAGTCTACTAGTCGAACTAGTCCCCATTTAATGGAAATTTTATTAAACATATGTCATCACAAAATTGTGTTGTTGTATTGATAAATTCTTTTTCAGGTATAAAATTCGGGTGCAAATTTAGACCGGATGGTCTGTTTTAATAAGAAAATCGGATGCCATAGGTTGATTGACACGTGGATAATTTCAATTAAAATATAATTAGTATTCTAATAATTGGAAAAAAAAAGAAAAAAAAAAAAAGAAAACCCCAGCAGAACCCTTAACCCCTCTAACCCTAATTATAATAGCCTGATTTATTAAGAGTTAGACTTAAAAGTGCCACATGTCAAAAAATTAGTGGAATCCGATTTATATTAAATATAGGCTCATCCGCGCTCAGAATTAAATCTCATAAAAATCGGCTTAATTAAAAGAATGGCATATGCTACGACTAGTGAGTTTGTTAAAATACTTGGCCAAAAACTTGTTAAAATAAATAAATATATTTTTTTAACGGCAAATTGTACGTCACTCCCTATAAATTTATGATTTTCGTATTTTACCCCCTCTAAATTGAAAAAAGTGTATGTCCCCTTCAAAATGTTGTTGCACATTGCTCCGAGAGCAAAATTGTGATGAATTATTCACCGAAATTGAGTATTTTTGTTGCACATTGCCCCTTTAAATGTTATTTTTGTTACACATTATCCCTGAAATATATTATTTTTTTAGCACGTTGCCCCTTTAAATGTCTTCCACAATGCCCACTGAAATTGGTTTTGGGGCAAAGTGCAACCAAAAAAATATTTTGAAGGGCGTTATCACTTTTTTGAATTTTTATGGGTGTGTAAACCACAAATTTTTCGAATTTGTTAAACATAAATACAAGACAAGAAAATAGAGGAAACAAATAAATTTATTATCAAACGAAAGCGGATTACAATCTCCGTGAATTCCCCTGATTCTTCTTTCATATTCTAGATTTTGATTCAAGGGCTTAAAAGCTTGTTCTTGAATCGAACATATGATTTCCTATCATGAACACCTCGAATTTAAATATGTTATGAATTCGAGGAATCGAACATATGATTTCGTATCACGAACACCTCGAATTCAAATATGTTATGAATCTGAGGCGGAGGCTCGAGACGTGAGCTTGAAAGCTCGATTTGTGTCTTTGTGAGTCTTGTTTTTTGCATGCACGGAATGCCTTAATTTATAGGCACAAGCTAGGGTTTCTTGATTTGCAGCATGGACCGGATATTTTAAAGCCTAAATATATTATGGACTTTAATTTGAGACCTAATTAATAACCGATTTATTTTGGTTATTAATTAGCAATTTATCTCAAAATTTCGATGTCTACTGGATGAAAGTGTAAAAATGAAAAATTTACAGCAGTGGATCGAAGCATTTTGTCTTTATTATAGTAAAAAAAAGTATAAATTTTCGTATTACTATTATGTTATACTGTCGTAACAAATAAGAAAATATAAATTTATACAAGAATATGAAGAAGAAGAAAATTTCAGGGGGAACAAAAGCATATATTTATGTAATATTGTACTGAAAAGTAATTAAAAAAGATCTTGAAAGAGAGTGGATAGTTCTTCAAAAGGGCAAACATTGGCCTAAATTGTTGAAGCTAATAAGTCAATATATTAACTTAACCTGCTCCGGCTGTGTTCTGTACTTGAGGCTAATTGAGCCATCCACGTTATATGATTTTGTAGATCAACTCTATTCTTTATATAAGAAAATGTCAACGTACGACTTTTAAATATTTCCCTCAAGTCTCCTCATTGACCAGATTATATAATGCCAACTGCAGTTTTCATGCTCTGTAATAATTATTTCTTTTTTCATTAAAAACAATCTGGGAATCTCACCTTGTACCAAGTGTGGCTCCACTTAAGAGTTAAGAATATATATATATATATATATATATATATATATATATATATTTATATATATACTCATATATATATATATGAGTAAATTGCAAACACCACCCCTTTATAATCCCGGATTGCTAAAAAAGTCCATGTGTTATAAAAACTAGCAAAACCCCCCCTTATCCATTGCGCGTCTCTCAAAACTTTGAACTTCCATTTTTCTTTCGATTTATTTGGTGATTGTTGCATGGCTTCGTGTTTAAAGAGATCGCCGGCGGTGGACGTTGTTGGAGATATGTATTTTCAGCTTTGCGGCGGTTGATTTCATGAGAGAAGGTTGCCGGCGGATTTTGGGGAGTTTATGATGATTAGTGATTGATGATTGGTTTGCTGCGGAGAGGTTGGTGGCGGATTGAAACTTCAGAAGGTTGGCGGTGATGGTTTGGTTAGTGTGTGCTTCAACTTAGATTTAAATCAATAATATGTTTGGAAAATTACAATTCAGTCCCCTAATTTAAGTTTTAGAAGTTTAGTAAAATATATATATATATATATATATATTAGGAATGTTTGTACAAGATCCAATAGTTCCAGCCATAAATTCATAGTTAGAGATAGAGTGGAAGAGATAGAATGTAAAATTAGCTCAAGCAAAGAGCTGCATGTGTAGACGCATAAAATTAATTAATTGGTTAATTAAACTAGTCAATTAAATTGTGTCTAACTTAAATTATATCTTGTCTTGCAAGACAAATCATGAAGATAAATATCAATTAATTAGACCAATAGGATTGTTTCCTCTCCTTCAAGTTTTAAGATATAAATATCAAATTAATAAATACCAATCAAATCGCGCCACGTCATCAAGAAGACTTTATGTAGGACTCTTATTCTACCACTTTAAATAGGGACCCTCCATATACAATTCAGGAGACAACTCAAGAAGAAGAAAAACCGTAGGAGAAAATTCTCTCTACAATATTCAAGTCAATCTTCATCAAATTCAAGGCGTTCTTCATCAAATCGAGGGAGTTCTTCAACAAATCAACATCGAAGATTGAAGGGCCAAATCCATCAAGAACTCCAAGATCTTCATGTCTAAACCCGTCAAAGTTCAGCGTTCGATCCGAGATTCAAGTCGCAAGACCCTCGGAAAACGTTATTCAAGTTCAAAATCAAATACGGAGAAGATCAAGTCAACGACCCAACTCCGAAATTCAAAGTCAACATATATTTTATTTTAATTCAATAAATTATCTTTATGCAAGTTTTTCTTGTTTTTTAAATCGCAGATAAGAATTTGTTGCTACAGTATGTATCATTAAACCCTCAGTCCCCTTAATCCAGAAGATCCAAGTTTGGTGGCAACTCCAAAACGAAAACAAGCACCAAGCAACAACCACTCACCCAAAACCCTAGATCTAGCCAGAACTCTCACTGGGTTGACTCACCAACACATGCACAGTCAACTCAGTCACAACTCATCCTCTACGCTCAGCACAAACCCCCAGTTTTCCTCACTCAGAGATCTTCAAGCACTCTAAGAAGAGTATTGGAGGTGAAAACACTCGGTTTGAATTTCACACTTGTCTCTCTATCACTGCAGTATTTATACACGAAGTTTCAACGGTCCGCAACATTAGATGTGCTGCGACGGCAAGGACACCCATTGTCCGGCAAGACCTACGACAGTGTCGCCAAAAAACAACAATGGATGAAATACTATAGAGAGAAGGAGATAAGAGGACAGGGGAACGGCGCAGCTAAAATGAGCTGCTAGGGTTTGAGAGAGGGTAAGAATAGATAAAGTGAACGTCCAGGATCAGTCATTCAAAATGGACGGTCAAGATCGAGTTTGACTTGGATAGTGGGTTTAAGTTGGTTTGGACCCAATCCCTTAAGTTGGACTGCCAATTTATAAAAACTAGCCCATATCACTGAAGATCATTTTTATTGGGCTCATATGTTAACAAGGAAGAACACACACTAACACACACACAAACAGGTATAAATAATAAACATATTTTTCTCCATTTTACAATTATACTTATCTTATATAGCATTATTTTATCACATAGTCTGAGTTTCTTTGTTGTTAGATTGGGGAAGGACGTGGTGGATCGTAATTTGGAAATAGTTTGATTTGTTGAAGAGAAGCAAAAATAGGACTTAGTTGAAGGAGAAAGCTTTTATTAGTTATGAGCGAATAGATCAAATAATTCGGACATAGATCAGCAGCTAAAGTGACATATTGACAATGATTAAAGTTGCAGTACTTATATGCAAAGGAGTACATAGCAATATACATACTTACATAAATCTTGATTTGGACCTTAATCATCATTCATCGAGATGTTATTGTTTGCAACTTCTTTTTTTTTTTTTTTTCAACAAAAGAAGAAAAGCACAACTTCTCATAAACAGTTCGAACTCGACACTACTCAGCCAAGTAAACTTCCAAGAATGTCTAACGCGCCACCACCATCACCACCCAACAATGACGCCATCGTATCTAGTCCTCCTCCACCCATTCCATCCAACAATGACGTCATCGTATCTAGTCCTCCTCCACCAATCCCGCCACCGGCGTTCATTAGTGTCTGCAGTAAGTCTTGGCCGCCGCCTACTCCACCACCACCACCACCAATAGCATTCATTACACCAGGGATGAGGCCGCCACCTCCACCACCACCAAAAGCATTCATCACACCAGAGATGCCGCCGCCACCACCACCAAGGCCGCCACCGTTATTAATGGAAGATATCATTTGCATCATCTGTTGAACACTGTCACCTCCAACGCCACCTACCCGACCAGCATAGCCCCCTCCGACCCCACCAGCGCCGCCTCCCAGTGCCGCCGACTGACCCATGATTTGCTGAAGGGTCGCATTATAGGAGGCCATATATTCACTGTGTTGTCTGTTAGCAACAAGATGAGGATGATTCAGGCCTCCTGCAGGAAGACCAATAGCTGGATTATTCATCATAGGCGGAGGAGGTCCAAAATTCTGCTGCATAGGCTGCGGCGCACCACCGAACTGCGGCCCAAACCCCTGCATCTGAGGCGGAGGCGGGGGCGCAGCCGCAAAATGCTGCCCAAAGCTCTGTATCTGAGGCGGAGGTACACCCCCGAACTGCGGCCCAAATCCCTGGCCCTGCACCGGAGGCGGCGGCACCGGAGCCGATCTAGTGAACGCCGTGAACTGTTGCGGCGGCGGCGTTTGAGACTGAAAACCCACCAAATTCGTGCGGACGTTTGGCTGATGCAACCGCGGGGAAACAGGCGGAGCGCCTCTGGCGCAGCTCAAGTGCGCGTCGAACCCACAAGGACTACACCTGTAAAGCCAGTGGTCCCCACCTGGTTTCTTACATATATCGCAAGAAAAGTCCTTGGTTTCATAAGGCGACTCAAAACTAAGGTCCATCTTATGCATATGATGAGAGGAGTGCGTGAGGGTCAACGGCACCGCCGCGCAGAGCACGTGCAAGTCAACCCCGCAGGGTTTGCAGTGGTAGGAGAAGCACTTTCCGGCCTCACCGCAAGCATCGCATTTGAACTGGCCGTCTTCGTATGCCGGCACCGGCAGAAGTGTTAAAGGATGCTCTTTGTGGAAAGGGTGGGTGATTTTCTTCGGCATGTCGAAGCATTTCTTGTGAAGGAAAAAGTCTTTGCAAATTGCGCACGAGTAGATCGTCCCGGAAATGCCGAGACTGCATCCTGAACAAGAACAAGAAGATGATAAATTTAGGGTTTGTTGTTGTTGTTGATGATGATGGTTGGTGTTTATTAGGGTTAACGGGTGTGGATGGCTGAAATGGGTTACTGTAGTCGGGTTTTCTTTCTGGGGTTCGGAAGTTATTCTTCCCATTTTCTTTCGGTCGAGATCTCAAACTGTTCGATCACATACAGAGAGAACCCGAGTTATTATTATTATGGGGTTAATTTAAGAAGAGAAACAGATCGGAGTTGTGGTCTGAGTTGACGCGTTCCACCGACAAGAGTGGACTTCTTTTGTACTAATAAAAGATTTTCTGAGTGGCGAAGAAATAGTCAGCAATTTCTGCTGTGAATAAATCCAGTGAATAACTCAATATGAGATAGACTTGCGTATCAATTGAGTGATCGAGATTACTTCTTTGAATGTGATCAAGTGCGAAGAAAGGGATTGATGTTACTGGTTTAATTTCTGGTTTTTTTTTTATTTAATTGATTTTTTTTTTTGGAAGACGTTGACTCACGAACCTTTATATAACTCATAATCCATGTAGCACGTACGAAAACTTCAACTTCTTAACGTATTCGTGTTTATTGTTTCGGGTACGTTTTGTGTCGGAAATTTGAGGATATCAGCCGGAGATATTTGGCCATTTTGTAATTTCTGAAAAGTTAGAAACAACGTTTGAGTAATAAATTTCCAGATTTTTATGTTGATTTCCTAATTATTTACGTGATTTAATGATCAATTGATAATTGATAATAATATATGTTTATTTATCATATTTATACATATACCCCTGTACTTTTAATATTTATACATTTTCCCCAGATTCTTGTATTCTCATTTTCGGAACATACCATTTCCCCATTTTCCGGTATGGCCGTTACCGTTTCCGTGCGACATAGCCCATAATATACTTTCTTTTAATTTTTAACTTGAAATCCTCAAGTATAAGATAGCTATATTCGTCCTCAGGTAAGAAAAAACTACTGGCAAAGCGGACGAACTTACTTTTTATTTTGATTATAGTTCCTCTATTCAAAATTTGATTTGCTAAAATTTAAATTTGAATAGTCTTATAACTAATTTGTTATGACTGTCTTGCGATATATTGGTTTCATTTCTTATAACTCATAGCTAATCGATAGTAAATTTTACGAAAATGGCGTAGTAGACGGTGAATTTTTAAAAATTGGTGCGAACCTGTAAAAACTGTCGGTGAACTTATTAAAATTGAGTTTTCATGTCATTACTCAATTTCAAATTTAATCTAATAAATCGATTATTCTACTAATTAACTAATTAATTAGTCAAGAGATAATTAATTCAATCTCATCTAATCAAGACTATCTTGATTTGATTCGATACAGCTAACACAATAAGTTGCTTTATATAAAATAAAAGAGATGTAGATGAAAATAACTCTTAGTTAAGTCAACGTTCTAATGGAGATGTTATGCACTCGACTCGACTGATCCACGTTTTAAGGGAGATGTCAATGGATAATGGTGTTTGGACATTGGAGAATATGTCTTATAATCATTATTTTATTTCATAATTGATTAATATCCATCTTCCACGAACTATGATCATTTAGCAATGACAACAATATATACATATGGGTAAATTATAACCACCTTGAGATATGTTTAAATTACGAAAAAATCTCCCATGTTTGGGTAGTTATAGATACCCGTTTCAACTATGAATTTTGTTACATGTTCACCATTATGGTGTCAAATTCAACATAATCTTCTAGATTACGTGGTTTGTTCTCTAATTTGTATTCGTTTTGTGCAAAAATGCAGTTTCTGATACTGCATCACAATCTGATGTATACAAGGCGAAAAACATATCTTATGGTCATGCATCCTGCTTCAAAATGTGGAGCTCGAATGGATACGAACTAAAATTTATTCAATATAATCTAGAAGATTCTACTAAATTTGACACCGCAAGAGCGAATTGTGTGAGAAGATTCATAGTTGTGGGGCTGGTGATAATTACCCAAACAGGAAAGGGGTTTTCGTAATTTGACATTCCTCATGGGTGGCCGTAATTTACCCATATATATCTCATGATCTAATTAAAAAGGGAGAATATAATCAAAATTAATTAAAAAAAAAATGAGTCCAGATTCGAAATGAAATTTCGTGATTTTCCATTCTAATGTTTCGTTTTTACAAGACAAATAACATTCGGGCTAGACATCTTAGGGTGTTGTGATGCGCTCAATGCTACGGTCTCCAAGAAAATACTTTCGCTTCGGCAGTGACGATCTTACGACGGTCTTTACAGGAATCGACCTGAACTTAATTTAGCTCAAGCAATGTTCAACCGCTATTAGAAAGTTGAGTGATGTCTGATAATAGAATGAAACTAAATAAATTGCGACGATAATTAGGAAGTAATTTTATACTTTCAAGGAATTGATTTTTTTATAGAAAATCACTACTAGAAAATTTGCTTATTACTACAAATTTGTTTGTTACGGTGAAAAACCGTAATAAAAGATATTTTTTACTACGGAACAATTTTGAAGTCGTAGTAAATACTAGGATTTACCGTAGCAAAAAAGTATTTGGTACGGCCATTTACCGTAACAAAACTTTTGTCACGCCCGTATATGCTACGAGGTAAATTCGTAGCAAAAGCCTTTTTACTACGGATTTGATACCTTTTGCTACGGTTAATGATCGTAGTAAAAAGCCATTTTTCTACTAGTGAATATTAACTTTGTTTTGAATCCTTCAAGTTCAACCCATAAATATAGTAAAAAAAACTAGTTTTTGCATGGGAAAAAATAAACGATGGAGAGTGTGGTTGTCAAATCATTATAATCTAAGATGTTAATACCGACCTTTATTTCACTTAAGAGGAGGTGAATGCAACAAAAGAAAATATTTGGGGTGTGATTGTCGAATATTCATAGTTCTGGAAAAGTTGGATGACAATTAACTTATGGGTAAATAGCACTTAGCCCCCCTGTGGTTTTCACTTTGTGCACTTTACCCCCCTCTGATATCAATTTGGTCATTTTACCCCCTTGTGGTTGACAAGTTGTAGCGACCGTTCAATAAACCGTTAAAGTTAGCGGAAAGTGCACTTCACTCGCCCAAATTTGTAGTGGTTGAAGGTTTTCAAGTGAAAATATTATATTAATACCTATTTGACCCATTTTCCTATAATAAAAACTCATACACGGTACACCCATCCTTACTTTTCTTTTAATTAGAAAACCATTACAGATTCGTCTTTAAATTGTATATTAATTAATTTTAAGATGTTATGTTAATTATTTTTAAGATACTCATCTAAATCTTTTTATAATTATTTTATATATTTCAATAAATCTTTGTTAAGTTAGTTGTACTTTTAGCCTGTACATTTAAACAAAAAATTTAAACGTGTATATATATATTATAATTTGCAACATTAGAAGGGAATATGAAATATTTTTGTTTATTCTGAAAATAATATACTACTACTGAAAAATAATTTGATTTCCTCATGTTTTTGCTTAAAAAAATAAATTTTATATTTTCATCCTAAAAGAGAAACAACTTTGATTTGCCCTAAAAATTTGCTTTTATTTTCTCATTTTGCTTACAAAAAGGGAAGATGAATGGGCACAAAACTCGACTGCAAAAGCAAATAGTCAAGAAACAAAAAGTCTCCTGAATTCATTAATTTATAGATTATAAATGTATTATAGTAAGAATAATACTAATTTGAAGAAAACCAATAGAAATCAAGAAAAAATCTTAAATTTCTACAACAAATTGACTATTAAAAGGAACCAATACACATGGTAAAAAGAGATTTTTACAAGCTAAGAGGATAAATACAAAGATTTAAGGAAAAAAAAAAAAGCAAAATAAATCTAGTATGTACTAAACTTTAGCATATTCTATGCATTCCGTTTCCATACTCTTGAGAAATCTCTAGGGAACCCTAGATTTGCCACAAGATTTAACAGATCCGCCCATGTCACTGTTCTTGTGGTCGAGTAGCTTAAATCAAGGTCGGCGGTGGAGATAGCAGGAGGGGGATGGGCGAAGAGACGACGGTAGAAGAGCCAGAACGGTGGGGAATGATAGCCACCATTGTTGTTGTTCTCCGAGGATGTCCATTCGTCTTCCTGTGTGTCTCAGACGGATATTTTGTTTTTTTTTTGGAAGGGTCTGGAACATTTCAGGAGGATTTGAAGGCGAGGAGAAGAAGTAATTCTGATAATTGCTTTTTAGTCCTATGAATTGATGTTATTTCTAATTAAATCCAATTGAATTTACATTTATTTATTAAAAAAAAGTATAACCTGCAAATAGTAGAAAAATATGGGGTAGTCCAGACATTTAACCTTTTTCTGTTAACTTTAACGGTTTATTAGACGGTCGCTACAACTTGTCAACCACAGGGGGGTAAAATGACCAAATTGATATCAGAGGGGGGTAAAGTGCACAAAGTGAAAACCACAGGGGGGCTAAGTGCTATTTACCCTTAACTTAGGGTATTTTAGTGATTTTAGGGTAAATTGCACTTAATCTCCCCGTAGTTTATCAGTTTTGCATTTCACTACCCCTGGTATCAATTTAATCACTTTAGCCCTTATGGTTGGCAGAGTGTAGAGACCGTTTAAGAATCTGTTAAAACTAACGGATAGTGCAGCTCCACTCCCCCAAATTGAATGCATCTCACTTACCCAATCCCTAAACATGTAATTTTTAAAATTAAGGGACCAAATTGAAAAAGATGTTGAAACTAAAGGGGTTAAATTGCAACTTTTTAAAACTTAATAAAAATCCTTTCTTTTCTTCAGAAGATCCGCCGCACGCGCACACACAAACCCAACCTTTCACCTTATCTTCCAGCGACGCCAACGCGCACACACGCCCCACGTCCTTTCTTCTTTCCTTCAAAAAATCCACCACACACCACCCTCCGCAGTTTGCAAGTTCAAGTACGAAATATAAGAGTTTAGTCATGATTTTGACCTGCAAATAGTAGTAAATAAAAGGGTATTTCGGGTATTTAATATTTTTTGTTATTTAAATAGATGGCTGCTACAAATGGATAACCACAACGGGTTTAAGTACCTAAATTGATATATACAAGAGGATGTAAAGTGCACAAAGGAGAAACCACATGGGGTTAAGTGCTATTTACCCATAATTTTATGCTTGATATCTAATTATCACAAATATTTGATAACTCAGTAGTCTATAGAACTATGTGAACTAAATGAAATAAAACATCAAATCAATTGAAAATTCAACAATTCAAAAAATTGATGATTCGAAAAGTCCCGCGGTAACGTCCAAAATTTATTTTGCCTAATTAATATATACGAAGTTAGTTGCAACAGCTGGTTATTTATATCGTGTGGATTTAAACGGTAGATTTGATTAAATAAATACCTATTAAGTACACATACAGTGATACAGATGGGTGTGTGTGATTATGTGTTGATCTATAATTCAATCGTTTAAATAATCATGTGCAATATCTATAAATAAAAAATAAAAATAAATAATAATAATAATAATAATAATAATATATACCATGTCATCTCTAAATTATTGACTATAAAATTTTGATTTATAGAAATATATAATAAAATCAAGGTAACATTTAGCTAATCCGTATTCAATTTAGTAACCCAAAAAAAATAATTAATAATATACACATATATATATATATAATTATATATATAGAAACTCAATATTGACCCTTCTCTTCTCTGCAATATTCTTCTCTTTCATTTTCCTCCAAATCGTGATCTGCAATAATCTAATTTCTTCCATTATAAAAAGATAACAAGAATTCACACACACACACACACACATAAAACACACACATACATATATTCCACACAACAAAATAATTAATTCTGCAAATCAAACCTACAAAAAAAATGGCCATGATCATGAAAAGTAGCACTCCTCCGCCCGACGAAACCGAAGCGCCTCCGAAAATATCAGAGAAGCAGCAATTCAGCCATTTCAGCCACCGCCACCCCTTGGAGCTATCGGAGGTCCATGAAGAGGACCACGCCATCTGCTCCGGCTGCGAGCATGACATCATCTCCGGCTCGGCCTACATCTGCGCAAAACCCAAATGCAACTTTCTCCTCCACGACCTCTGCTTCGACCTCCCCCGCCGGATCCGCCACCGTTGCCACCCCAAGCACCCCCTCAGCCTCTTCATCGCGCCGCCGTACTCCGACCGTGAGTTCACCTGCGACGCCTGCGGCGAATCCGGCCATGGGTTTACTTACCACTGCGGATCCTGCAAGTTTGACCTACACGTTGAGTGTGCTGCTTTGCCGGAAACCGAGAATCGGCCGGACCACCAGCACCCTTTGATCTTGGTGGGAGGTTTTGATCCGGAGAAAATGGTTGACGGTGTAGATTCTGTTTGTTATGTTTGCGGTGGTCCGATGGCGGAGGGTCGTTGGATTTATTCTTGTTTGGCTTGTAAATGCGGCGCCCATTTGGACTGTGCTACCGCCTGATTCTGGGATTAAAAGTGGTGCATGCTTTTATTTGCACTGTTTTTTTTTTTAATTTTAATTTGCTAATTAATTGTGGAATTGAGATTTTGAGTTTGGAGAGACAAGGGAGATTGTTTACTCTTGGATGATGTTTTTGGATCATTGTTGTTGATGATTTTTCTAAGAATGTAAAACAAAACAACAATAATCATGAGATTGCTTATCGGCAATGCTTGGTGGTTCGGTTTTCATTTCACTTTTATTATTTACATGAAACGGATTCTTGTTTGTTAAGATTTCTAAAAGAAATTTCCTAACCACCTTTGATGTCATTTGACTGCTACAGCATAAAAAAATGGATCGCTGAAAGATAAATCTACATTAAGTAAGAAAATTGAAACAAACATAGTTAAATTAGAAAAGGAAAAAATTACAGTTTTCACCCGGCGAATTTGCATCAATTTCACATTTGATCCTTTATGTTCAAAAAAACACATTTAGTCCTCATATTTCAATAATTTAACGCTTTTGATCATTTCCGTCAATTTACGGTTAGTCAGTCATTTAAGTCATTGGTGGGCACACTCTTGATTCCGTTAGTTTTAACGGGAAATCGACGAAAATGACTAAAATTGTTGTTTTTGAAACATGAGTACCATATGTGGTTTTCGTGACCATGAGAGGCCAAATATAAAACCGATGCTAACGTGAGGGTCACGTTACGAAAAGTGTATTTTTTTCAATTTGAAAAATATGAAAAATACTCAAAATGACAAATCTCGTATAAGTTCATAGATGATACTTATTTGCAAAACAGTCCATTATCAAAATATCTTATACCTAAAAGGACACCAAGTCTATCAGAAACAAAAAAGGTCATTCCTCAAAGCTTAAGTGGACCACAATTTCACCAACTAACCAACTTTGATCCAAATTTATACCTCCGTTGACTGTCAACGGTATTAACTTTTGTTTTTTTGTTACGTTGACCGATGAATACAATAATATTACTAATTTACTATGTTGACCGATCAAAAAAAAATGTAATGTGAACTGATCTACATAACATTGTTACTGTGTTGACCGCTCAACACTACAAGATTAATTATTTTCCACCTAAGCAAATCTTATGCGATTATCTCTTAAGATTTGGTAAATTTCAAATTATACTTAACCAATTAATTATGCATTGGTAGCTAGTCTCATTCATTTTTCTTGAGCGATTTTGCGAGATATTGCACGAGCCAGAATTTACCAAATACAGCTCGAGTAGCTTCGAGTTTTCTCTTGTCATTTGAGAAAAAAAAAGATATACATTAGAAAGAATTAGTATTTATAGGCCAATTTGACTTGATGTGGGATACATGCGAAATCAATCAAACACAATTTAGTACTACGACAAATGCACTTTGCTCCCTAGAAATTTCTAGTTTTTGCTCTTTCCCTCTATAAATTAAAAAAATGAGACTATCCCCTTCCAAATTTCGTTAGATTTACATTTTGCCCCAAATGAGACCTTTCGGCGTATTTTTCCCCGATTTTCTCATGTCCCGTCAACTTAAAGGGCATTTTCGTCCTTTCACCAATTCCACCCAAATATGAGTACCTTTGAACAAACCCAACCCATTACACAAACAACCAGTAGATCATTATCTACGAGCACACAAGTTAAATTTATAGCCTCTTCTCCCTTCTTTTGCGTGCAATTTCAACTTCATATTCATTAACTCAACGAAGTAGACCATGAATTCTATGAGTAGCTCTATATCCCATGGGTGGGTCAATCCAAGCAAAAAAAAATACATCCACCTAGTTTCTACATCAATGCAAACAAAAAAAATTTGCAACCCGAAAAAAAAAAAAAAAAAAATCAAGTATCATAGATACAAGAAATATGACGCCTCAATTCATATATACCTTATACTTAATGCAAGTATTGTATCTTCTTCCAGGATTTCGCTGAAGTTCTTTGCACCAACATATTTTCAAAAAAACATTGTTTTCCCATGATTTTCTTAGTCTAAGAAAATGAAAAGAAGGTTGATACAAATTCAAAAACAAATAAATCGTAGCTCCAACAGTTGAATATTATACATAAAAAATGAAACACACAAATAATCTTACCTTTGTTAAAAAACTTTTACCTTTGAAGAGAAAAACGCAGCCCTAATTTTGGAGCTCAATTGTGTAATCGTGGGTTATAAAGAATCATCATATTGGAGATTTGGGTGCAAAATTATGTATATGCCCTGAAAGGATGAAAATGTCCTTTAAGTTGACGGAGACATGAGAAAACCAGTGAAAAATACGCCATGAAAGTCTCATTTAATTTGGGGTAAAGTTCAATTATAAAGAAATTAGTCTTATTTTTTAAATTGTAGGACGAAAAGTGCGAAAACTAAAAATTTCTAAAAGGCGAAGTGCATTTTGGCCTTAGTATTAATTAGCTTAAATCCATGAATAAGATACAATACTAATAATCTCTTCGAAATGATAGAGAGAGATATGTATATTTAGAGGCAAGTCAACTAATAATTTTGCAAGTCAATGCCCATTATAGATCGAGAGATGACTGATTCAATTCCCAGCCTGTGAAGAATCTCATTACGTGCCACACCTTCATTAGTCACATATGCAACTTGCTTAACTTATAGGCTAAATTGCGTTTGTTCCCCCAAGGTAAGATCAAATTATGAAAGCCTCCTTATTTTTTGGTAATTATAATCACCCTTCAACTATTAATTTTTTTACATGTCCACTCATACGATGTCAAATTTAGTGGAATCTTCTAGATTATATCGAATATTCTCACCCGTTTTACTCTATTTGAGCTCCATATTTTATAACAAGATATATGTACTTCTTGACTTATAAATATTAAATTGTGATGCATCGAAAACTGTATTTTTCGCACAAAATGAGTACAAATTAGAGAACATTCCACATAATCCAGATGGTAAGTAACATTTGTTCTCTCAATAATTGATTTACATTCATAATAATGGAAAAGAAAAGTAAATAACCGGTAAACAAAACTAAAAACATAAGAAAATATATTCCGTACAATTCTTCATCAACAAAGAACTACAATGAATTAAATTAATTCTGATTAGTGCTACATGTACATACATGAAGTGTAACATACATTTGTTCATATACATGTACTAACTGAACACTAATAATAATTAATTACTTTAAATTAATATTTCTCGGTTACCCTTGGAAATTTAATCTCTTCAAGTATATTTTTGTCTCTATAGAAAATGAAAGAAATCACCGTAGGATTCCTTCAATAGATAAAAAAAAATGTTCTATAAGATTAAAAAAAATAATAAAATAATAATAATAAACAATATACTAGTAATTATTATAAATAATAAAAGAAAATAAAAATGATAAAATAAATATTAAATATGGAATGTTGCAACCATTAGGCATGTAGCTCTTTAAACCTCCACACTATAAAACTTTTGTTTTGGAACGATATTCATATCACACTATGAACTTTTTTTTTTCTTTTTCGGAACGGTATTTTTTTCTTTTTTTGAACGGTAACACACTATGAAATTTTGTTTTTTGGAACAACTAGTAACTCACCCGTGCGATGCACGGGGATAAATTAAAAACATTAAAATGAGTTAATGTATAAAATTAACGAAGAAAAATTATGTCGAGATTGCTAAGAATACAACCGAACAAAAAAATAAAAATTCGTATCTTAATCAATCAATAAAACATCTGCATATAGAATAAACTGACAACATTCTAAAAACCATCCACGTTAAAATGTAGCAAGTAACTCCCATACTGAAATCAAAGCATCGCACCAGTCTTGCACATGAATCTTATTGTTGTTAAAGGAGACAATGAAACTACAATCAGATATACGATAGGAGAACAAATAACTTGTCATAAATGAACTTTATAACATGTAATTACATTAATTATAATTAATGCTACATCTACATGTACATGCATGAAGTGTAACATCCTTGTAATATATACACTAATTCATTTATATTAATTCAACACCAGTAATGGAAGAAATCACCATAGAATTTCTCCTTTTATAGATAATAAATATAGAAGAATTGAAGAGAAACAAGGTATGATATATGCTGCAATTTGCCTAAATTTGGGTTTCGACTCATTGTCGTCTTCAAAATGTAAACATATATCATGAAAAAACAAGTTTTGCACCTCACAAAAAAAAAAAAAAAAACAACAACAACAACGAAGCACATGAACGGTCAATCCTTCAAGATTCATGGACAGTGAGAAGTCATCCTTCAAATAAGCCTGCAAGAAAATTAATACCATTTCCATCTCCAATTAATGATTGTTGATAACCGCCATCACCACCGATGACACTGTTAGATATTCTAACCAATCCCATCAATCCCTGAGCCATTGTTGTATTTGCTCTATTGTCGTTGATTTTCATTTGCTGAATTGTCGTTAATCCACTGTTTTGTCTGCCGACCCCAAAACGAGGCACATTAACCGATACTTGGGCCTCCGGAAAACCCATTTTTGTTATAGGGGCCACCGAGGTCTCTTGTCGCCACTTCATCGGCTCTATAGACTTTGACGCGGTGTGGGCGGGTGAAGCATCATCTTCGGTGGTGGCACATTTCACATGGGCATCAAATCCACAAGATTTGCACGTATAAAGCCATTGACACGAACCAATGCTCGTGCATATATCACAGGAAAACTTCTTCTCAGGATAAGGTGACTCAAAAGTAAGGTTGAGCTTGTGCACGTGTGAGCCATGCGTGACGGATAACGGTAACATGGCGCAATGTACATGCAAATCAATGCCGCAAGGTTGACAATGGTAGGAGTAGCCCTTTCCTCTTTCCGAACATGCATCACATTGGAATCGGCCTTCTCCGTAAGCCGGCTCCGATAGAAGGGTTAAAACATGTTTTTCATCAAAAGGGTGAGTTATTTTTTCAGGCAAATTATCACCACCGCCACCACCAATTTCCATTACCGTCTGCAAAGATTCTTGGCCACCACCATGTTCGCGCACTACTGCCTGCAAAGAATCTTGACCACCACTACCACCGCCGTCGATCTTTATAGCAGGCAGAGTGTCTCGGCCGCCGCCAACATCACAACCATCGTCCATTACCTCATGCGAAGATTCTTGACCACCACCGCCGTACCATTGACCGCGTGTAGAGATTTTTGGCCACCAACACTACCACTATCCTCAATTACTTTGTGCAAAGCACGATCTGGTCCACCTCCATCACTACCACAATCAATTACCATCTTCAAAGAGTCTTGGCCGTCACCGCCGCCACCGTCATCGCCACTGCCACCACCATTGTTCTTTATTGTGTGCAAAGAGTCTTGGCTGCCTCCACCACTAGTGCCACTGTTGCTGCTAATGGCATATATCAACTCAATCAGCAGATGAAATCCCCTGATATCTCCAGAATTACCTGCTGAAAGTATTGCCTGAGCTATGGCCTTACTATTGTTGGTAATCATTTGTTGAATGGCGAAAAGTGCCAAATCATCATTGTGTCTGTTACCGGACCCAGTAAAAGGCACACTAGAAACCTCCACCGGTAAAACACAAGGCACACTTTCCATCATTGGACGCGGCCACAGCTTCTGAGTCTGATTAGGCGGCACCGCCACAACGGGAGGCACTACCGCCACAATGGGAGGCGGCGTCGCCACATTAGGAGGTGGCGACGCCTTCTCAACTAAAGGCGGTGGCGCCACCATAAGAGGTAGCGTGGCCACAACGGGAGGCGGTGTTGCAGGAGCCCATTTAGAGAACGTTGCCACCTCTCGTGGCTCCAAATAGTCTTTGGACTGAAAACTCATGACGCACTTGAGATGGGCATCAAATCCACATAACCCGCACCGATAAAGCCAGTGGTCCCCACCGAGTTTCTTGCAAACATTGCAGCTAAAGCGTTTCGTAAGGAAGGGGGATCCAAAAGTGAGGTCGAGCTTGTGCGGGTGACAGGTGGCATTTGTGACGCACAACGGCATGATTGCGCAGAGTATGTTCAGATCAATACCGCAAGGGTCACAGTTGTAGGAGAAGCCCTTGCCCTTTTCAAAGCAAGCGTCGCAGTTGAAGTTGCCGGTGGAGTAGGCAGGCCCCGGCACGAGGCTTAAAGCGTGGTCCTTGTGGAAAGGGTGTTCGATTTTCTTCGGCATGTCGAAGCATTTCTTGTGGAGGAAGAATTTGCATTCTGTGCATGCGTAGAAATTTGTTCCGAAAATATTGAGATTGCACCCCGAACAAGAAGAATAAGATGATATATTTCGAGTAATTTTGTGTTGATGATCGGTGGTGATGTGGATCAACGGGTGTGTATGGCCAAAGTGGGTTATTGCAGTTAGGGTTTCTTTCTGGGGTTCCGAAGTTATTCTTCCCATATGTCTCAAAAAACACACACACACACAGAACACACAGTTATAGGGTTAGGAAGGAGAAATTATTACCAGAAGTAGATATATGTGATCTAAATCATTTAGTTGTCGAAGACAATAGACTATTTCATGAGTAACATTTATATATATCAGGTACATATTATTGAAAGAGTTGACTTTTGGATTCTTTATATTTGTTTGAGTCGTTTGATTAAAAATCAGGGTATGCAGATCAGTTCTTTATTTGTCTTTTTGATACTAGTCGGTTTAATTATTTATACTGAGAGTTAATTGAGACATCCACGTTCTATGTAACTCTACTCTATATAATTCTAACTATTTCCCTCAAGTCTCCCCATTGACTGGGTTATAACATACAAAATGCAGTTTTCATGCTCGGTAATATATATATTTTTTTAATTAAAAAACAATTCATGAATCCGGAAAAATATAATTTTTGTCCCTCATGTTTGCACCAAATTCACATTTGGTCATCCATGTTCACAAAAAAATGTATTTGATCCCTTATGTTTCAATAATTCAACATTTTTAGTCATTTCTGTTAATTTCCCGTTAAAACTAACGGAATCAAGCGTGTGCCCATCACTGCCTTAACTAAAGATAAATTGACGAAAAATGACCAAAAGTGTTAAATTATTAGAACATGAGGGATCAAATGTGTTTTTTGTGAATATGGGGGGCCAAATGCGAAATCGGTGCAAACTGGAGGGATGAAACCGTAATTTCCCCTTCATGAATCTTATCTTGTACATAATTGAAGGTGGGTGTGGATGACAACTTCTTTTTCCTTTATTTATTTATTCTTTTTCTTTTATTATTTTTTTTTTTTTAATATTTATTTGTATTTAATTTTAAAGATGCAAGTGAAGGGATGAATTTACCCCTCAAAATCTCAGGTGCAAAGCACATGTTTTAACATTCCGGTTTGGGGGTAAAAACGTGTAATTTTTTTTGTTTGGGGGTTAAAGTGCAGATCAACCATTAGTTTAGGGGACAAACTGCTTTTTACTCTTATTTTAACTTAGGGACTTTTGTAACAATTAGAAATTAGGGAAAATTTGACAAAACCCCCTAATTACACAAGTGTCATTATAATGAGTCCAATTTTATTTTATATTTTAAAGATAAATCCAAAATATCTTTTATCAATTAAAACCATCTAATTATCATCATTATACCCCTAATTAAAAAAATAATATTTATTTAATTTTAATAGTAAAAGATATATAATATCTTTTCTAATTAAGGGATGCTAATAATTAGGGAATTAGTTACCCGTTTCAATGACATTCATTCTCTCCCTCTCTCTTAAAATTTTGTGCATCCAATGGGGTGTTATCACTTTAAGAAGACAAGATATATATATATATATATATATATATATATATATATATATATATATATATATATATATATATATATATATATATATATATATATATATATATATATATATGCTTGAACGTTATGTTGTTGTTTATCCGAGCAAGAAAGCGAATTTGTAATTATACAGAGTGGTTTTCATGTTTACATAGCTGTAATACAAAGTGGTTCTCATGTTTACATAGCTATTATACATAGTGGTTTTCATGTTACATAACTGTTATACACAGAGTGGTTTTCGATGAACATATAGTGAATTACACTAATTTAACAGTGGTTTACACTAATTTAATAGTGAATTACGTTAATATTAATGTGGATTATGCTTATTTTATAGTAAATTTGTACTTTAATTTCATAGTAAACTAAAATTAACGTGAGACATGTGATATGAGAGATAATAGGGAATGATGTGAGATGGGGGAGAGATTAGGGGGATTTGCATATCTACCAAATATGGATTGATTTTTCTACAATAATATAATATAGTAATTTTCAGTAATAGAAATAGGGGCATTTTGGATAATTAGAGTTAATTGGAATTATAACAAATATTAATTAAAAAAAATGAATTTATCAAGAAGTCAAAATTCAATGAGTGGTGTTCGTGAAATAGCCCCCAGAAATTATACAGGGATAGTCAATGCTAAAAGCTCCTTGTATATATCTATATATGTTTTACGAACACCCACATATACATAAGAGAAACAGGGCTTGATATATTCTGCAATTGGCCAATAAAATTACTTATTAACAAGGAATATACCTGAATCTGCATAATCTTTTTATTGACTTGAGCAATGGTAGAAAAGCAAAATTGCATCTTCGCAAGAAGGAAAAAGGAAGAAGAAAAATAATAAACATAGAAAATCACACAAATACAAATTGTAGAAAATTAATCTAGACAACCGCCATCGGCATCGCCGCAGCTACTGCATCCTCCACCACCACCGCGGCCACCGTCAGACACCACCTGCGGCGGCGCATCCCAAATGAGCATCAAACCCACAAGAACCGCACCTGTAAAGCCAGTGATCTTGACCAAAGGCCTTACATATATCGCAGATGAAATTCTTGTTAGCGTAAGGCGACCCGTAAACAAGATGTAGCTTATGCGCGTGAGCGGCGTGGGTGATGGTCAACGGCAAGGCGGCGCAGAGCAAGTGCAGATCCATTCCGCACGGCCTGCAATGGTAAGAAAAGCCGTTCCCCACCCCCCAGCACGCGTCGCATCTGAAGAAGCCGGTGGCGTAGGTGGGTTCCGGCAGGAGGGTGAAAGGATGGCCCTTATGGCCAACGTGGGTAATCATCTTCGGCATTTCGAAGCATTTCTTGTGGAGGAGGAATTCGCAGATTGTGCACGAGTAGATTACGCCCGAGGGCTTGAGATTGCATCCTGGACAAGAAGAAGATGGCGATAGCTCTTTGGTTTGCTGATTGCAGATGATGATCTCTAATGGGTGTGGATGGCTGAAATGATGGTAACTTGTCCCCATTACTGTAGTTGTAGTTGACGGAGTTTCTTTTTTGTGTTCGGAGGTTTTCTTTACCAATCACAACTCCTCTAATTTCACTACCACATAACACATAGAAGAGAATAGATCAAAAGCCTTATGACTTCTTAAGATTGTTGAAACAGTCAGCATTTCGAGGTTCTATATGTAACTCTCGGGAAAATTACAGTTACCAACCAACAAGTTTACACTAATTTCACAATTGGTCCCGATGTAAAAAAAAAAAATATTTAGCTTATCATGTTTCAATAATTTTACACTTTTGGTCATTTCGGTTAATTTACCGTTTGTTTGTCAGTGAAGATAGTGATGTACGCACGGTTGATTCCGTTATTGCTAACCGAAAATTGATGGAAATGACTAAAAGTATTGAATGTTTGAAACATTAGGGACCAAATATGTTTTTCGTAAACATGGGGACCAAATGTGAAATTGGTGAAAACTTTAGGGACAAAAACTGTATTTTTTCCTGTAACTCTCTGTTATGTTTGGTCCCTCAATTTTTTCAATTTTGGTCCCTCAATTTTTTCTGCCGCAAATCGGTTTTTTCACACATCGTTTGATTTTGGAGTTAGTTTGGATGGAAAAAGCACATGTGAAGGCACGTGACCATGCTATTTCAACCACTTTCTTAAAAATATTTATGATTTAGTCCCAATTATAATTTATTCCTACAATTTGCACAAAAAGAACAAAAAGTTAACTGCAAATGGTACCCCTGTTGCAGAAAATGTCCCTGTGTTAAAATAATTTGCAAAAAGAACCATGTGTCTCTGCTCTTGATTTATTTTTCATCTTCTTTCCATTTTTTTCAACATATCTTCACCTTCAGAACCCAGGAATTTCATAGCAATTGGAACGAAACCGGAGATTTTTGTCGGAGGAAAAATCAGGCGCACGCACTGTGTGAGGGGGCCGCTGTAGTTTCCACCTTCAGAAGACGGAGTGTGGTGGAGGAGGCTGATTAGTACATTAAAAAGAAAAACAATTATTTGAGAACCAATTTTGTCGCAGAAAAAATTGAAGGACCAAAATCCTAAATAATGTATAATATAGGGACCAAAACGGTAATTATCCCTTATTTGTTGATAAATTGATAGAGAGAGAGCTAGCTAAAGTCAATGGCTTTTTAACAGGACAAAAGACTTGCATTGGGTCTGGGAAATAAAAAGTTTCAACCAAATTACATTTTTTTTTTTTTTTGCATAATTCCAAATTAAATGCCGAAGAAATGTCAAATTATTCCACCACTAGACAAAATCTGATCAAATAAAAACGTCAGAAAGAAATATGAATTTAAAAGCAAGTCAACTTCTAATTTTGCAAGTCAACGCCATTAAAGAGGGGCGACCGATTCAACTCCCAGCTTGTGATGAATCCCACCAGTTGGCATCCTAAGCATTCACATATACTTTATTCCAACTTGCTTAACCTGTTTGACAAAAACTTGTATATATCAAGCACAAATTCACGTTGTACCCTTTTCAAGAGAAAAATAAACAAAAAAAATATAAAATAATAAGAGAGAAATGGAGTTCAGGCATTTCAGCCACAATCACGGCCTAGTTTACCACCAAGTTGTTCAAGGATCTGAAATTCATTGCTCCGGCTGCAAATCTGCCGGCTCAGGCAACGTCTACGTTTGCTGGCAGTGCAGTTACTTCCTCCACGAACACTGTTTTCGTTCCGAACGGTCTCTCAAGCACCCGTCTCATCCCCTTCATCCTCTTACTTTGGTTCCTTCTCCTACTTATCCGTCCGGATCCTTTTTCTGCAATTCTTGCAATCTTGGTGGAGATGGATTCTCCTACACTTGTTCCGAATGCGAATTCGATATTCATGTCCATTGTGCTCTTAATGTTCAAATTCCTAATCCTAATCTCAATCCACATTTATTTCCTTCCCCTGTTCCTAATCCTAATCATAATCTTAATCCTGCGCAGAATTATAATTCTAATATCTATCCTCCTCCAATCCAATCTAATGCTTATCCAACTTATCCTCCTCAAAACACTGGTTATCCCCCTAATCCAATT